AGAGGTCGAGCCAACACAAACCCAGCTTCCCTGATTCCCAGTTCAGGACTCTGTCAACACAGCTGCCCCTTAAACCAAGACTTACATGGTGAGTGATTTGCACAGAATCCTTCAGTTAGAAAGTGATTCAAGAGCGGCTTCCACTCTGGTCCCGGACTCCAAGCCATACATTTGGTTTAAGCACCCCATATTTTCCTTCAAGGACAGACTTAAGGCCTATTTCCTCTGTGAAGTCTTCCCAACTCCTGACCCTGAGGCCCACCTGGAATTTTCTTTCCTCTGAATTTCCATAGCACTAATTAAATATCTCATTTAGCATTAAACAATGCCACCTTGTATTGTTTAGTTATGTTAAAGATATATGTCTACATGCATGTATGTAAGGGGATTAGCACACGTGTAGAGTGCCTCTGATGGTGTCCCCTCATGTGGAGGGGCTAGGGAGCTTCCAATAGAGTGGTGATAGTATGTGATAGAAATGCCTTGGAGAGACGGTAGAGTGTGCAGAGACATTCTGCAACTGGCTCAGGTCTGCCGATCTCACAGTGAATAGGAGGCTCTTCAATGGTAGTTGGGGCCTTCTAGGAGGACCAGTAAGCAGAGGCTTGGCCATTTTCTCTATAGCGTCCATCTTGGTAGATCTCATGGGATCCTTTGCTAATGGTGTCTGGTGAGAGACAAGGCAGCAAGGGGAGAAATCTTGGGCCCTTTCAACCAAGGCTGAAATGTGGTCCTGTGAAATGGGTCTTGGCTCTGAGCCTCTGTTTTCTTGAATGTAAATAGCAATTGCTATTCACATCTTGTTTTGGCCAGAAACCCTGAGGGTCTTCCCCTCCAATTTTTTTTGACTAGGTAAAGGGCCATGCTCTGCCTCATTTCTACTTAGCCTTAATCACTGATTGGGCACTGCCTCAGTCAAACTGAGGCCTGTTAAAGACTTAAAAAGGCCATGGTCCCCCGCTGCATCCGGGGCCATCTCCAGTCCCCAACCTGGCCAGATGCCTTCAGAGAAGACAGTGAGGCTGGTGACTTTACACAGCCCTCGATCTCTTAAATCCAATTCCCCTGCGTGTCATGGCATCACCTCTGTGATATCATGGTCCTTTTCAAGAACAAAAGACAGACAGCAACAACTTTCTCATTCTGGGTGAATGGATTAGAGGCTCTGACCTTGTTTTTCTAAAAGTCAGGAGAGCAAGCATGTGGCCAGGCAAGCATTTGTATTTGGTGGCCAGCTTAGCACTGATGCCCCTTGGGGGATGTCAAGGAGTGATGTCTGAGGCTCAGCTTAGAGGGTGTCAGAGAGGAGGGCTTGTTCAGCAGTCATGCTGCCTTTGGGTGTGAACTTAGTGGGACCAATGCTATGTGGCAACTAAACTATTCTCCCTAAAGACCAAGGTAGAATAAGGAGAGTGTGTTCCCCTGAGGTATGGGGACAGGGGGGATTGTTTGTATTTTTGTTATAGTATCTTCAAAGGAAATATCTCTGTGTAAAAAAAATATAATGTCATGTGGGTTAAATGGAACTGGGGAACTTGCTGGTCACCAATACCTAATAGTGGTGGAAGTTTGAGTCAATGACAGTAGAGAAGAGATACCTGCCAACCCCTCAGGTAACCCCTAGACTCCTGAAGGGCGTGATGAAGCTGGCCTGATTCTAGAAATGAGCCAGAGTGTAGCATACACCACACACACACACCCCATACACACACCGTATACATACCCACTCACATATACATACATGTATGTATGTATATGTAATATATGTAACAGGGGATAGCCAGTACAGCCCTGGTCCTTCCAGCATATACAGTCTGCTCTGTTTGGGGCCAACCTGCACGGAGGCTTGGGGATGTCCATCTAAATCAGACCTAGTCTTCAAGTCCAAGTCATGGAGCTTTTCTTCAGGAAGCCCTGAGGGGACACAGAAGTTAGCTCAATATGTATGTTTCCATTTTTTCTTCATCTTCACCACTAAATGTTTTCTGACCCTGGGAAATGGTGTTCTGTTTTTGGCTAACCAGTAGGAGAGAAGGAAACTCTTCTTCTTTGGGCAGCCAGGCATATCAAGTCCTGATTTCTGCAAAGAACATCTTGCCAGCTCTTCAGAAAATTCTATCTAGGGGCGGGGGTGTAGCCAAGATTCTCACTTGGCTAATAAGGTGGGCTGTAGTTATTTCTGTCACCCACCCCACTGATTCATTGATTCATTCATTCAAGAAACATTCTGAGAGCCTACTGTACCAGGCGAAGTAGGGCAGATTAGATGTACAAGAGATTTCCTCTCCTGCCCCTCCAGCTTACAATTTAGTACAGGAGATAAAACACAAACACACATAAATGCAAGATAAGGCAAAATAAAATAATTGCTATCTGAGAGGTAGGAAGATATTGCTTGGAAGTTCCAAAGCGGGGAGAAATCATCCTCCCTTTTCTCTTTACAATGTTAAATATTTTTGACTGAAACCATCATTTTGACCCTGCCCCACCCCCCTTAAAATGTTTTGCATTTTCTTCCCATTTCTGCAGAAGCTGGGGGATGTTACCAATACTCTACGACATGTCTGATGTTTTGGTTTGTTTTGCTGAAATTTTTTTTTCTTTTTAGAATCTTTTTAAAGGTGGTGGTTACTTGGGCAGGAGAATGGCTGTATTTGGGAATGAAGGAGATGCGAAAACAAGATTTCAATAAAAATATGATTAAATGTTGTATTGATGTTTTTACATGGCCTTTACTCCCCAATGAGTTTTCCATCCACACGCCTCCTCCCCAACCCTCCCTGTAACAAAGTAAGTTGGCTGTATTAGACAAAGCATGCCTCATTCTGTACCTATAGTCCACCACTTCTCTGCCAAGAGGGAGGAAACATCTTTCATTAGTCATCTAAAGTTGCTATATTACTCAAATTACTCAAAGGCAAGAGCTTTTGAGGTTTTATTTGGAGAAATTTTTTTAGGGATGGTGGGGTGAGGTATTATCCAATAAAGCCCTATCAACCCTATTCTTCTCCCCCTTTCCTCTTGCAGCTGGGGTACACACAGAGCCCAGTGATAAACAGCACTTACAGAAATGTTGGCTCTACCTCCCCAGGGCAAGGCTATGGTTCTGAAGCACACAGTTCTCCTGGATTCCTATTTCAATTACCATCCCACCCCACTATTCCCCAAAGTTAAGAAGACAATGCTTGACTTGCATAAAGATTTGAGGACATCTTGCAATAGCCTGGTGGCAATTTGTGGTTCACAAGTTGGGAGGCCTTGGACTAGATCCCATCTTCTTCAGCCCTAAAGCAATGATGCTGTGAATCACCCTCCCCAGATAGACTGTGAGCCTCTAGCAAGGGGGGGAACCAGCTGCCTGGAGGCCATAGGTGGCCTTCTAGGTCCTTGGGTGCCACTTTTTTCCAAATTCCAAGTTTTTACAGAACAAATCCTTTTATTAAGGGGATTTGTTCTGTGAAGCTTGGATTCGGTCAAAGGGCTGCACTTGAAGACCTAGAGGGCCACATGTGGCCTGAAGGCATCAGGAGACACAAGGGGCTGGGGTCTTCTCCAGCCTAACTTAGGAGACAGCCCTAGCACATGCATAGCTGGGCACTTAGTGGAGACTCTGTCCATGTGTGTTAAGAGGATCACTGATTCGGGGCCATAAGGGACCTCAGAGGCCACCTGGCACAAGCCCTTCTCATTTTACAGATGGGGAAACTGAGGCCCTGAGAAGGTAAGGGACTTGAGCAAGGTCACACTGGTAGTAAGTAGCTGAGGTGCGAACACTGATCAGGGATCTAGAGCCATAAGGGTCCTTAGTTAGAGGCCATCTGGTCCAATGCTCTCATTTTACACAGTGAGAAACTGAGGTGTACATAGGCTAAGGCCACGCTGGCGGGATACAGGAGAGACTGGCTGTCTTCCGGTCTGCTACTCTCCTAAGTCCTGACCCTCAGGGGGCTTCTCCTCCAGGCCGCGCCCCTCGCCCCAGGATCCCACACAAAATGGCGCCCAACGGTTTCCCCGCCCCGCCCGTTGCCCCGCCCCCACCCGCGAGGTGAGAGGCATGGGGCTGTCACGTGACAACCGAGCCTTCCCTTCCCCTCTCCTTTTCAGGGAGGCCCTGCGTCATCACGTGATCTTCCTCCCTCTCTCCCCACCACCTACTTACTCTGCCTTACGGAGGAAGGCACTGGCCCAGTCACGTTCCCCCGCCGCGACAAGTATAGTCACGTGACAGTCATTACTCTCAGCCTCGCCCCTCTGGCACGCGAGAGGGAGGCAGCGGGCTCCCATTACGTGATTATCCCGCCCCCGGCGAAGTTCAAACGCCTCCTTTTCCCCCACCCATGCCCCGCCCCCTCGCGCAGCCCCGCCCACCCCCATTGCTTCGCGCGGGAATCCGGGTAGGACCCGAATGTGGAGAGAGGGCGAGGCGTGCGTGCGCACCCTGCTTAAGAGGCCGAGGCCGACGCCCAGAGGCGACGCACGCTGGCGCGCGCCGCGCAACACGCACGCAGACACGCAGCGCGCGCCAGCCCGGGCGGGCTGGGGAGAGAGGGAGGGAGCAAAGGGGGTGGTATGCGCGCGCAGCCTGGAGGGAGAGAGCGGCAGGCAGGCGGGCGGGCGAGAGCCAGGCACGAAGCGCGAGGCGGGCGCGCGAGCCCCCGGGGGCGGGTAAAACCCGGTTGCTGCTGCTGCTCCTGCCCCCGCCCCCGCCCCCTCCACCTCCACCCTTCTCTTTCCCCCGACTTCTCCCCCCAAGACCTCCTCAGACCCGCCCCCTCCCCCCCAACCTCCTCAGGCTGGCCGGCCTCCCTCGGGCGGCTCTACCCCTGCCCTGCACCCCCAGGCCTTGCAACAGCCCCCCCGCCCCCACTCTGCCCCCTCGGAGTACCCCCTCCCAGCAAAAAACCCTTCCTCCCCTTCGACCCCCTCCACGAGCATCCCCTCCCCACCAGCCCTCTAAACGAGCATCCCCTCCCCCCACCCACGGAGCACCCCTCTGGCCCCCGCCAAGCATCCCCTCCTCCCCTCGGAGCATCCCCTCCCCACAAATGCCCCATATCCGTACCCCTACTGCCTCCATTTAACATTCCTTCCTAGCAAATGCCCCCTTCTCTTTGCCCGCCATTTAGCAAATCATTTGGCAAATCTTCCCGCTTTAAATGCGCCTTCCTTCCAGTCCGCCCTTGTGTGGCAACCCGCCCTAGCATTTGGCCCGACCCAGACGCCCCCTTTAGCATCCTTTCCTAGCAGATGCCTCCTCCTTAGCATCCCCCCCAGCAAATGCCCCTTCTCTCCCAGACTCCCCCAATTTAATCTCCTCATCCAAAAAATCTCCCCTCCTCTCACTTCAGTCCTCCCGTTAGCACACTCTGAGCAAAAAATTCTCTCTCACCCACCTTTCTCCCACTTAGCATCTACAGGACAGAAGTCCTCTCCCCTCCCCAGCCTCTCCCAGCAAAATCCCTTTCTTGCTCTGATCTCCACTCCTTGCAATAATCCTTTTTCTCCTTAGGACCCCCCCTCTTCCCCTAGCTCAGATCCCTCATTTTCAGCAAAAAACTTTTCAGCTGGAGATTCCCTACCAGGAAATCTCTATCTTTCCACCTAAGTCACCCCAGTTTAACCTCTTCTAGCAAATATCCCTTCTTCCCACCCAGGCCACCCCACATCCCTAGCAAAAATTCCATCTCCAGTCCCAGTAAAAATTCTTCCTCAATTGTCTCCTTTTCAGCAAACCCTTTTCTGCCTCTGTCTCCCTTCCCAGTGAAAAAACCTCCAAAACCCCTGTTGAATATCCCACCAGCTCCCCTTTTCCCCCTAATCTTGACCATCCCCATCCCTTCCTTCCACCACCTGCTTTCAGGACCAGAGGGAAAAGCTGTTGAGCGGGCTAGAGAAATCGGATTTGTGTCAGAAATTGACACCCAGCATACTGGAGAAAAGCCCTGATGGTCAGCTTGTCTGCCTTCTGAGCCCCCTTCCAAGGGCACCTAAAACTGACCTGCCCAAGAGCCTTGGCTTGGCTCTCCTGGTGAGTGTCCTTCCTAGTAGAATCATAGACTTGGAGCTGAAAAGGCCCTTAGAGGTCATTTTGTCCAACCCGCTCATTTTATGGAGGAGGAAACTGAGGCCCAGAGAGATTTTTATGGCTTTCTGAAGATCACACAGGGAGTAAGTAGGTGGCAGAGCCAGAGTGCCGTCTCCCTCCGGGAGTCTCCTTGGTAGCGATGCCCTTGTCAAATTGACCTGCGTTCACAGGTTGTATCCCCCAATAGAACGTGAGCCCCTTGAGGGTGAGGATTGTCATTCTTGTCCTGGTCTCTTCAGTGCCTGCCACGAGGTCTTGCACATCCGGGTCCATAGTAATGCTCCCTTTAATTGAATTGTCCCCCCTTGTCCCCCCTAACCCTTTCTTTGCTTAATGGAGCTGTTTTCCTCCTGGAGGATTTTACTTTGAGTAAATCTGAATGAGGCATCCTCCATGTGCCCTGACCATGAAGAGGGGAGGCTCAGGGAGTCCTCGGACTAGTTGGGTGCAAAGAAACCATTTAAAAAAAAAACCCAATAACAGACCGAGAGTGAGGGTCCTACCAGATGGGGTGTGGGCTCTTAGGTGCTGTCAGGAAGGAAAAAAGTTAATTCTGATGCTGGAAAAGTTGGGAGAGGAAGCTGAGGATTTGCAACTTGAATACCAGTTGACATGTATACAAACTTCAGGGTTTGCAAATCGCTTTACCTAAAGTTCTCCTTCAGTCCTCACCTCCGACCCCCAGAAGGGTGTGCGCTGTTATTCACGTTTTACAGAAGAGGAAACTGAGGTTAATTGATGTGGCCAAGGTCATCAGCTAGAAACAGTGAAGCAGAATTTGAACCCAGGTCTTCCTGACACCAAGTTCAATGTGCTGTGCACTCTACTGTTACCCCATCTCTCTGATTATTTTTGAGGCTGCTTACAGTCCTGGAATTTTAAAGTTGAAGAAACTGACAGAGATGGCTAGATAGTGAGGACAGCAGAATTAGTGCCCTGATCTTGTGACTTCCCCAGTACCGTGATTTGTCGAACTAAAGTTTTTCTCGGACAGATAGGTTAGTGTAGGTTAGGGTTTACTTTCTAGGGAGGCTGAGAAGCATTCACTATTCCTTCCCATACCTTGGATATGATGTGGATATGGAACATGTGAATAATTGTTTTAAGTCCCGCACCCATTTATTTTTCCCAAGTGACTCCAGCCTTTTGTCCTGTTCCCCTAAAAAAAAAGTACAGTTACTGAAACTAAAAATTTTCTCTGACCAGTAAAAAGAAATCATTCATTTAGGTGGAAAATGCCCTCTAGAATTTTCCCATTTCTTAGCCTTTTGGTTGAAATTCTTCCAGTGTCATAACTAGAGGGAGGATGTTTCCGGGATACTTTGTTAGAACCTGGGTTTCACCCCTGCCATGCCTTCCCATCCTCTGCTGTCCTTGTCTACATTTTCCTAAAAAACACCCCCTAAAGGACATGC